GGGTATGAGCAAAGAAGAAGTATCGGACATGAGCTTGTACCTCGATTTAGATGTATAAACTATAAAGTGAGTTCTTGGCTTGATACGTTTGTCGGTATTTATAGAACAGTTTGAGATGATAAACCATTGATCCGGTCCGAGATCATGTTGGTTTTAAACACCGTAGAAGAATTGGTAATAACATTGACCTAGTCAAACCATCACTTTTGTCCTAGACTCTATGCACGAAGAGTCGACAATTTCTAAAACCGTTGATTAATATTTTTCTTCGATCGATATGAAAAGTAGACACACACATAATTTATTAACTCTTGGACCTAAATGAGAAGAAATTTATAAGGCGTCGCATTACAACGAACACGTTTGGTAATATGAATCTTGACTGAATCTAAAGAGAAGTTTCTCTTTTGAATCCGTAAAATTTCTAAGAGTATATACTACTTAATTTTATAGGTCGCTATAGAATTTTTCTTTAAGTAGAAGTAGTGAATTATTATTACAAGTTGTCTTTTAAATGTGTTTGTTTTTGTGTTTATATATGTGCTCAAATATACTGTTTGTATCAAAATGATATTTTAAGCTAAGTAAGACAGAAGTATTAGTTTTCTTTTATCAATAATATAACTTATAAACGTTAACACACAAAAAAAAATGATAGAGAATAAGAGTGTGTTTATATATGTGGTATGTTTTTTTTGTATCAAAAAGATAAGACTTGGAATTTGCAAATTCAAAGAGAATTTTAAATGAGTTTGACGGTTTTGCGTTTGAAATTTGTATATATCATACTTTTCACATGTAATTAAACAAAAAAAATGGAAATGCAAATTGTGTTTATATATATAATTTGTAAATAATGCATATCATGAAAGGAATTCAATATATATGTGTTACGATCAAGACTTATAGTGTTTGCCTTTATATGTCAACATATTCCAACTTGCAGTCACACGACATTAATTTTATCATATATATATATATATACGTCAAATTCAAAATGTGAAACTTAGATGCATTCAACGTTTAGTTGACATAATGTATTGTTTTTAGTGTAAATACATCATCTAAACATTTAAACCCACTTCTTAATCGTTTTCTTGCAGTTGATGAACCAACCAGGCCTATACACGAGATAGAAACGACACCTCGTTTTCATTTACTTGTGTAAATTGAACTTAACCTGAAATTGGCTAATGAACCAATGAATCGACTAACTCATTCTACATGCTCACCTTTTTATTTGTTTTCAGTAAATAAAATTCACAATTGGCTGCGTCTACAGCGACTTGTGTGTTTAGCTTTTTATACATTTTTTAAAGAAATTTGATTAGGTTGGCTAATGATTTTCTTATACTAAATTTCTTGGTGCATGCATACTTTTTTAAGACTTTTTTACGTATTAATTTGTTTAAAAAAGCTTAGGAAGCACAGTTTAACTTTCTTACGGAGATAATGTAAAGATAACAAAATTCATGGTAAGAGTTTGAAAGATTCATAATTAGTGATGGGAATGGACCCATTATCAAATAAGATCCACTAATAATCTTTGGTTAGTTAGTATAATACGTTTTATGCCATTGGTTAAACGCACATACGTACGTTCTTGCATGTCCCATGTCGTCCCATTCATCATGTGAGACGTGTCGTCAAGGCAAAGATCTTTACCCAAATATGTAGAAATGTTACTGTTATACTAATATACTACTATTGTTTAATTTTTTGGCTTGACGTGTTGGAAGTGTCATTTGAAAATAATACTAATTATTTACGGAAAAATTCGGCATTTACTGTGCATGAGCATGATTGTATGATTGAGAGAGTATTTGAAGCGACGAAAATGCAATGCTAGAGACATGTCAAAGATGAGACTGGTATGCTTGAAGTAGACTCGGAATATGTTAAAATTCTTACATAAGAAAAAAATATTGTATGTATGAAGTGTATATAAAGAATATATGATAAACATTGCATTATAATTAGTTTGTTTTGAAGAAGACATAAATCTTGTAAACTACAAATGTTTTAGAGTTGTTTACGTCAAGAACAATCCATCATCCATTTCGCAACCTCTATGTGAAATTCATAATAAGATTTGAAAGGCCCATGATTAGTGATAGAGAACCCTCTAAGATAATGGACCCATTAATCTGAATATGATCCACTAATAATATTTGGTTAGTTAAGTGTATTACGTTTTATGTCATTGGTTAAATTAACAAATCGTCTTCTTGGCTCTTGCATGTCACATGTGAGCTCATTCAAAACGGATTTTTTTTAACAAGTCAAATGTGCAGAAATATACTATATACTATTACCACTGTTTATTTTGGCTTGATGT